GTATACCAACTTGTATGTAATTTGGACATCTGTCTAAACTATGAAGACCCAAACCACAGTCCCTCTATCATAGAGGGACTGTGCCCAAACTCTAACACTTCTAACTAACGTGTTCTTGCTCAGTCAGAGTTCAGTATAAAATGGTTTCACAATATACTGTATCCGTTTATTTTTCAATGCTAGTGTTTGCAATTTTAGAATTTTATGGCATTTGTAAAGACAAAATTTCATAGAAGTCACTGACAATCCATGTCATAAGAGAAACATTTTGTCACTGACTTGCAAAATTTGTAGTATGTATGTTATGCAGGATTGTCAATTATATATTGACTGAGTGATACCATGAACAATATCATTTTCTATCAGACAGACAGACAGACAGACAGACAGACAGACAGACAGACAGACAGACAGACAGACAGTCAGTAGTAATATTCCTACATTTATTCCTACATTTATTCTCACATAGGAATCCAAGTTTGATTTCCATTTTATTATACTCAGTTGCCAGAAAATAGAAGATGAACAATATTTCGTGATGTTTTGCCCTGTCTATTATGCCCAACACAGAAACATTCTATTTATGGAAGCAACAAAAATATCCACAAATCTCGATAAAATAAACCATGACGATAAATTCAGACCTATTTTGAGCAATAAATCCCTGTTGATTCCTTTAGACCAATATTTGCATATCTGAATGAATGATTCTCTTCCAGAATGTTCTATTTTTTTGGTGGTCCTCTTAATGGGTCTGAGTTCACTTTTCCTAACTTTACTGCATTACCAGGGGTATTGATAATTGCAATTTTTATTGCTGTCGAGTTGGATTCCATTCTGCGTATTTTTAGAATACAAGTGTTGTTACAATTGTTATTATGTTTATCTTGAACAAGCCTGATTTGTCCAGCCTGGATTGTGGCAAGGTACATGTACATGTAATATCCTAGTATTATACCAATATAATAACAAGTTATCTCTATGGCAGACAACTTGCGTCAAAGAGTCCCTTATCATGCAGTGCTTGTAGTATTTGATATGTGTGTTTTGTTTATCTTAGAATATTTAAGTTTTGACATTTTGAAGGCATAAAATGCATAAGGACAACTTACAAATACAGATAATTTATTGAATGCAACGATTGCTTAATGGCTTAAACTGAACTTACATGTAAAAGATTAGATAAGTACCGAGGACAGACATGAAGTGCGAAAGCTGCCGTAAGTATTTACTGCCTCATTGTGATTTAGTAACATTTTTGTGTGTTTCCTCATAGGAATTGATACCTGATTTGGTTTCTTTCAAGACCACTGCACCAGTGTATGCTGATCAGAGTCGTGTTCTAAGGCCGTTTATGGGCAGATGTTGTACTAAATGTGTTCCAATAAGCAGGGTAAGGAATCACTATTTAAATAGTATTTTAACCATTTGTTTTATCTCCTTGTTTTCTGTATTATGTATGGGTTGATTATATGTGAAGTCATGGCTTGCACACTTTAGAGTGTAGAATAATAAGTCATATATGTATTTTATTTGTTTTTTCTGTCATTATTTTATATATATATATCACCTTTATTGTATTGATTCAGAGGTATTGATTCATTGTGAATACGATTTCAATAAAGTTATTATTACAGTATAAACATGTATATATACACACACACCCACACACACACGGTGGAGGAATTCAGTACCAAAGCTGAAAGCCTCAATGGATATTCGAAATGATTGGACAAAAACGACGTCAGCAGGGGATGTTTATGGTATACTGAGAGTGTAACAAAGCATGTAATATGTCATTGAATCTACCAAGGCATAAATAATAACCAGCAGTATTTATTGTCCTCAAAACATGCAAGGAAACAATATGTAAAGTTAACATGTTGTTCTTGGTGTGGTAATAAAAATTAGTTTAATTAAAAATGTTCATATGACGTACGAAGAAGGCATTGTGTATGCATTGTGTATTTCGAGAATACGTCAAAGGATGTATAAAGACAGTAAAGCTGGAGTATCAACTGATGTACAGCAGAGGTCGATGCTTGGCGTACTGGTACTGTCTGAGTGCATACTTTGAGGCATAACCTTATTATTATACATAATATATACATAATATCTAACGATACATCACGGGAATGCCGAAATCCAAAAAGTTTAGAACAGAATCGGCGAACTTCTTTGTGTGGAGTCCGGTCAAACTCTGGTGGCAGCCATGTTTGTTTTTATTATTAGAAGACGCTTTAGGTGCATAGTTTGTTTTCACATAGTATTCCATATTTGGAATTCACAGTTTTTAATATGGTTGGATGGTAATACCCCATAAAATACCGCAAAATTACGGCACGTTGTAACTTATGGCATTTAATATGGCGACAGGATGTATAATAATATGATGTAACTTGAATGACATTGATTTGTCTTGCTTGCAGGGAATGTTTTATGACAATGATGCCCCATCTATGCGGCTTAGAGACTTGCTTAAAGTTCCACCCAGCAGGTATGTACATTGTTATCTCAGTTCTTCATACCATTTAAAAAACTGCTATGTTTTAGTCAGTGTCTTCCAAAGTGCATTGTGGGTAATCCTGAACCAGTTATCACAAAAATACCATGAGGTATTCATAAATATTAAAATGTACAAGAATATTATGTGTTAATTATGAAAATTATGAATTTATTACTATTTGGAGATGCGACCATGTACTGTCTGTACCATATGCCCAGTTTGTCTAATACTTTATCATACACCCCCCCCATCTATTGCAGGGGATATAGTGGTTACTAGCATTTGCCTATCTATATAGAGTCATAACTAAAAAAATTCAGCACTCATGATTTTGAAACTGGGTGAGTGTGATGTCACACAGTTCTAATGTAAACTATATGTGACCTTATCTCAGACATCATCTGCGCCCAGTGACCTCATCTCAGACAATCATGATTTTTACGGGATGAGTGCTTTGTCAATCACTCACTCAAAATATATTTTTCAAAATGACGGGTTTGGGGCATAATATTAGAGGAAAATTATACATTGTTTTACGAAACAAGTTGTGTTGTCATTAATATCTACAACTTTTACAATTAACAAGAAAATACGAATGTTCACAAAAGATATGGACATTTTATTACAATGTTGTTTACATACCTTTAAATTTTATTTTTACCAAATAGCAGACAAATATTAGTTGCCAAGCTTCTCATTTGAAAAGCAAATCTTTAAATTTTTAATTGATTTTAATGATAGATAGATAGATAGAATTTTTTATTTGAAACGTACCAATGAAATCTTGAGTAAAGTCCAAAAATAACAATAACAAAACAAAACATTCAGAACAACAAAAACATACAGTACTAAAGCATATCAAGAATATAGAAAATAAATTTTGCAAAAATGCTAAGAATGAAAAAATCATTACTTGAAACAATAATAGGAAATAATTCATCCATGCTAAAATCTTCCAGCTTTGGGGCATAGATGTATAAAGCTGCAAGGAATCTAGATCTTTGTTCTTTGATTTGACAATTATTACAATATAAAATGTAATGTTTCTCATCCCCTACTTCATTGCATTCATGGAGATTACATAGCCTGTTTTCCTTCAAAATGCCTTTATGTCTACTGGATTCAATGGGAAGAAAATGTGCAGAAGTTCTAAATTTAGTATAAGCTATTCTATGATTTCTATTTTTAATTTTTTTTTCTAAATAACGTTCTAATTAAAAATTTTCTTTAGCACACCTGTAATAGTCAAGCTTACAATTGTTCAATAAATTGTTTTTTCACTTCATACGATACAAACATTTGTGCTTCTCTTTAAAAATATCATAACAATTATTCTGATGTGGGTCTGAATTAGTTAGATCTGTTATGACTAGTAATTTTTAGTCCCCGTTCGGACAAAGTCCGAAAACGGGGACTTATAATTCGGTCTCCGTCCGTCCGTCTGTGCGTCCGTGCGTCCATCTGGAGTCATATCTCAGAATCCCTTGGACCGATTCCGTTCATTCTTTGCATGTGCGAAGTACTTTATGTGGGACATATGCACATGTAGTGGTTTAGCGATTCGATACAAAATGGCCGACTGGCAGCCATCTTGTTTTTTGAAAATGTTGTATTTTGGACATGCTTTGTCAGTTTTCATTCAAATTTAGTACATAGATTATACATGTTAGGATACATGTCCATGGCGATTTATTTCACAATTCGATCAAAGATGGCTGACTGGCAGCCTTGTTCTTGTTTTTTGAAAATGGCGTATTTTGGACATGCTTTGTCAGTTTTCATTCAAATTTAGTACATAGATCATACATGTTAGGATACATGTCCCCGACCGTCCGTGAGTTCCTGAGTCTGTCCATCCGTCCGTGTGTCCATCCGTCTGTGCGTCAGTCTGTCCAGAGTCATATTACAGAATCCTGTGGACCTATTCCGTTCATTCTTTGCATGTGCCTAGTACCTTATGTGGGACATATGCACATGCAGTAGTTTAGCGATTCGATTCAAAATGGCCGACTGGCAGCCATCTTGTTTTTTGAAAATGTTGTATTTTGGACATGCTTTGTCAGTTTTCATTCAAACTTGGTACATAGAGTATACATGTTAGGATACATGTCCATGACGATTTATTTCACAATTGGATCAAAGATGGCCGACTGGCAGTCATCTTGTTTTTTGAAAATGGCGTATTTTGGACATGCTTTGTCAGTTTTCATTCAAAT